TCACTTTATACTGGAATGGATTACACCCAGGACTGATGTGCCTGGGTAACTTGGTTTTCTGAATTATGCTTCAGAAAACATTCAGGAGATCTAGTTTGGTCCCTTACTTTCTAACCTTTTGCATTTAGGAGTCAGCAGTCAAATCTGACACCCCCAAAATACCTGTAATGCTAATAGCAGTAGTAGGAATTGAAGTTTCCCACCTCTTTTCCTCTGTAGTACTTCCATGTGAATGATGCTGCCATGGGGATGGAAGCAGCAAAATCAGTCTTTTGGAAAGGGCTCCCAAGGGGGTTGGTACCTATGTGTTGATCAACTGCTTGGCATCATCACTACGTGCTTGTTTGGGGACCTTGTTTGAACAAAAAATACAGGGTGAGAACCATTCCACATTGTCAAATATATCAGCATGGTGCGAGCACAAGCTCTTTGTTCCACAAGCTCTTTGTTCTGCAGACTTGTAGCAATGATTATACATCTGTATGGGGCATATTTTTCCTCAGCATCCTTTTGGTCTCCAACAAATGTCAGGTTGTCCACAGGACATAACTGTTGTGAGAGAAGGGTACTGATGGCAGTAGACATTTCCATGTGTTTCAAAATGGATATAAACATATGTGGGACAATGTTGAATGAGGATTTCAGCTCACTCACCTTCCAAGGAGATGTCTGGGGACTTTGTTGGACATGCAGCAAAGTTAGGCTTAGGTTTTCTTCTTTCCTTAGTAGAAAACTCCTTGTTCTGCTTAATCAGCTTTAGTTTTATGCTCTTCTGCAAATTGGAGAAGAAAACTCTCAGGAACAGCAATGCCTTGAAATAGGTAAGGAGTGGTATTTCAGAAGTTGAAACAACTTGTAATTGCTGAGGAAATGATAGTATTGCTTATGTAAAATGGTGTCCTGTCAGCTTATTTTTACACATGGTGTTTTATGTTTAGCTGGACAGATGTTTATTATGGTTTACTTTTTTGCTGTCAACCACATGGCAGATTGCTTATTTTCTTATGGGTTTGTTTTGAGGAATGGGGAAGGAAATTTATCAACCTGATATAATAGGTATGTTAACCATTAGATAAAAGGAGGAAGAATATCTTATTTTATTTGAAAATACAATAGAGTCAAGACACAAGAAGTTGGACAGGGAACAAAAGTAATAAACATAAAATGCACTGTAAATAAAACACGAGTAGCAGTTGGACTATTGAAGTTGGTGGGAGCTTTGCCATCAACTTTAGTGGGACAGGATTCACCCAAGGATGTGGCCCCTGGCTCAGGGTCCACCCTGCTAGGCTACCTGGGTGTGTCCTTGCTTCCCACTGCTCCCAAAGACCTCTGCTTCAGCCAAAACATGGAGATACCCAAAGCCTTGGGGTGAAGCCATTTCCTACACAGGGTCTGAGTGTCTGGGACTTGCAGCTCAGTGTTTCTCATTGGGGAAACCAGAGCTAAGGCAGGTGAGAGCTAGGCATTTGCAGAACAAAACTAATATAATCTATATTCATTCAGATTGAAGTTTCCTCATCTTGAAGGTGGCTAGGTACCATCTGGTAACATTTATGGAATAATTTATATTGTTTTATGTTATCAGGTCTTCATTATGCCACAGGAATACTGACTGTGCATTAAAAAAAAAAAAAAAGGCTCATCTTTTCAAGTGAGGTTGGAAGTGGAACCAGCCCAGAACAAAGGGTCACTTCAAAGTCAAGGATGACTGTTTGAGAAGGCGAAATCACAGCTGGATCCAACTTCTAAGGAGGGGAAAAATCATAATCTCTGCCAAAATCACCCTTTGATACACTTGCAAAGATAACAAATGATACACAGAAGGTTTTGGGCAGAGGTGTAATGACTCTGTACTGCATCCTGCTAAACCAAAAGATTGTTCTCCTGAAAAAAATCCCACCTGTCTTCATTGAAGGTCTCTTTGTCAAGAAACAGTGAATATAATTGAAAGTGAAAGGTTGCTTTGATACCTGCTGTTTCAAAAGCAAAGAAAACATGTAAGAGATGCTTAGGAAGGTGATCAGTGGCCTGTGAGATGAATGATAGTGCTGTGTGTGAGGGCCACAGAACATGGCTGCATTGCAGGCTCCCTGTTTATTACCTGCAGGATATAGGAAGTATTCTAGTCACAGCAGAGATACTCGGACTTTGAGATACTTTTTGGGAAAGAGGGAGTTGATATCTTGATCTGGAGTTAATCTAGAAGAGCACTGTGCTGGCGTTAAGCCAATTGCAGGATGTTGGTCTTAATTTCCAGGGCTGTCATAATTAAATAGCCCCTCTTCTAAAGCAAATTATCCATAAAAAGCAGTTCTGCTTTATTCTTGATGGCCACAGTACAGCTGTGAACACCTGTAGATAAGGCCCAAGGGAGCTTGTAATTGATATTGCTTTGAAATATCTATCTTCTGGGATACTCTTGAGTGATATGTAAACTTGAAATAATTCACTAGGTAATTTTTTTAGTGAATAAATTGTATTTCCCCCTGTCCCCTAGGACCTTGCCAAGTTCTCACCCTGATCCTCCATCTCTGCACCAAGGCTCTGTTCCTGTCCTGGGGACATTGCCCCTTGCCAACCCTGTTTTTGCCAAGGAAGTGATTTGTCATGATGTGTGTGTCTGTGACAAGGCAGGGAATTGGGGACCAGTTACCCCTTCATTTTCAGTGCAGAATTAAAACCGCTAAGTTATGTTTGTTTTACAGGATACCAGATTTTGTTAAGGTTGGTGGCTGTGCAAGGAGTAAGAGGTCTACCATTGTTGTTAGGTAGCATCCTAGAAAACAACAGAATTCATAGGAGATACTCCAGTGCCACAGTCTTCTTGTCCTTTTCACCCAGTTCAGAGTTTGTGACTGCCCTGTCCCAGCTTTAGGGAGGTGGGCAGTTGTCCAGCCAAAAGCAATCCTGGTTCAGGTGGAAAGGAGATTGAGTGAGCAATTTGACATATGAATGTATTTAGGTAAATGTTGCTGTTAGACATGAATAGGTTACACGAACACAGCTCGAGGTAAAGAAAGGAAGAGAGAGCTTTATTTCTTCTCAGAATTTATAGGTTTCTGACTATGGCCAGGGATTGGATAGTCAGAATAATACCTTCCCAACCGCACTGGCCGTGAGAGATGGCCATCAAAAGATGTGTATCAGAAAGAATGTATACATATCTATGTTTACAGTTACTGTCCTGGGAAAGTCTTTAGAAAACTATGTCAGCAAGCTCAGAGAACTGAGTTTTCAGGGCGACAGGTAAAGACTTAGGTCTGTCTTCCTGCTGAAGAGAGAAGATAGAAAGATAGAACACTCTGTGTGTGTTGGGAACTCCCATGGTTAATGAAACAAGATTTCTGTAGTATTGGCCTAAAACCTGCCTTTCTTTATTTGTCTAAATCCATGTCTTTTGGGAGCATGTTTGAGAGCTGTTGGTGGGGTACAGTTCCTTACACAGTGGGTTTTGTAAATCCTCAGCCCTAGTTCCTGCAGTTGTAATTACTTCCTCATAGTAGGGGAGTTAGTGTAAAGCCAAGAGAAAGGGATTTAAGCCAGGACTTTGGATCGTTGGCTTGGAATAGTGAAGAGGATTTTTTGTTTTGTAGTTGATGCTGCAGTGACAAAATTGAAACATGGATTTAACAGTTGCCTCAGTTAATTAAGTTTCTTAGCATGTATTTTCCCACCTTTTATACTAGGTTTTAGCTGGAGCTGATAAAGTACCAGTCTTACTGAACTGTACTGTAAATTGCATTTAGGAGTATTTTTTGCCTGCATGTTATTCTCAGTACAGTATTGATGTCTGTGTGCAGTATGTACTGATGGAAAGTGTTATGCCTCAATCCAGCATTGCATCTAAATAGAAGAACCTTTTCCCTTTTCCATAATTAATGAAGAACCATTTTTAAAGCCAGGCTTAATGGTGCAGTGCGAGTACCGGGGTGAGGCTGTTGGAGCTAGAGGATGCAATCTGAGATGGAAGATGAGGTTCATCCTTGTAGGCTGTGGCCACACAGCCTGTAGATTTGTAGAGCAAAGCAGAGAAAATCGGATGTCTACACAACACATCTTACAGAGGAGGTTGTCCTGGAGTAGCTGTTCCCTCAGGCTGAGAACCCATTAGGTTGGGATGTGTTACATACACCCCTGCAAGGTCCTTGGGTTTAAATTCATCCCAGTAGTACAGGGTTTGGGCATTCCACAAGCTCTCTGCATTGTGTACCAAAGTGTGGTAAATGGGGCAGTTGGGACAGTCACTTTTAAAGTACTCTCTTCCCCAGAACTGGAAAACCCCTCTGAAATCTGAAAGACAAAATTTGCATTTTTTAGTTTACCTACTTGCATGTGAGCTGTGATAATGGAGCAGAGTGGGAGCTGGACTGAAGTATTTTCTCTCTGCCTGGATTGCACTAGGTTTGCGTGACTGAGAGTTGGAAGCAGAAAATGCTTTGGTGTTTATTTTAATTCTCCATGGTAGGTCTAGATAAAATGCCAAAGGAGGCATTTCACCCTGGAAAAAGGTGGAAAATGGGAACATTTCATTTGCTGAAATGTGACAGGGCTGTAGTATTATACCTGTGCAGTGATGCTGATGCAGGAGGGTATTGTGGTTTGGATAATGATGGCAGCATCTTTCTTGCAGGCTCAAACAGGAAGATGGAGTGTCAAAAAATTACCAATTTCGGAAACCAGCTTCTTCGTCGGAAAAATGTGGACTGCACTCGAGAAGACAGTCGCCTCTCGCGATGCCTTAACACATTTGACTTGGTGGCTCTGGGTGTAGGCAGCACTTTGGGTGCAGGTGTCTATGTACTGGCTGGAGCTGTGGCAAGGGAAAACGCAGGACCTGCCATCGTTATCTCCTTCTTGATTGCCGCCTTGGCCTCAGTGCTGGCCGGACTCTGCTATGGAGAATTCGGTGCTCGAGTTCCTAAGACGGGATCAGCTTATCTCTACAGCTACGTGACTGTGGGTGAGCTGTGGGCCTTCATCACAGGGTGGAATCTAATCCTCTCCTATGTTATTGGTAAGTATGGTGGGCGTGTGCAAGACCCTAGCTTTAGCTCAAGCTGGCAGCCTGGTCTGTAAGGTCACCCTTGTTTGGGTGCCTGTGTTACTGTTACAAAATAGATGCTTCGCTCTTGCACTCACGGAGGATTTCAGGACTCAACAGTGGGATGCGTTTTTGATGGCTCCTGCTAGTTGGTGAGGTGAGTGGTGTGTTGCTGGCTGAGGGCTTATTGCTGCTGGGAATTCCTCTGAATCTCCACCTCGTCCCTCTGGCATCCCCTGGCTGCTGCACATTTGCTAGGGCACAAGAGAGTGTCCTCTCTGCTGAGAAAGGAGCTGCTCACAGAAATACGCTTTTATACAGAGCATCTGTACTCACAGCTGATCAAGGATTAATTCTGGTCCCTTTGGGATCTATTTAAAGTATCTGGAGATAAGAGTTTTGTCTTGTGAATTGCTGCAGAATTAATCTTGAGATGATCTTCAGGTTCACAGTCTCTGGAAAATACAAACCAAATCCCTTCTAAGCCCTTGACTCCCACAAGGAGAGGCCCTGGATCAAGCTCAGAGCATGCGCTGTGCAACTCAGCTGATGCATTAAAACTTAGCCACACTTTGCTAATTAAAGATTCGTGTCTTTTCAAGCACATTCTGGGCAGGCTGCTTGTTATCATGCCTCTCAGGCTGCAACACTCACCAGCTGAGACTGAAAGCTTGCTAGTTAAACTGAAAACTGTATGCTAAATTACTAAAGGGAGTTGGTTTTTTTAAATGGCATTTTATGAGATTTGTAAGCATTACCTTGGAATTTAGTTTCCATGGTGCTTGGAGGGTAAGATCATATCAAGAACAACATAGTGGCATAGCAGCTGCCTGTCTGAGACCATGCTGGCTTTCCTCTGTGTGTTACCTGAAATATTTTTCTCCTCTTCCTTCTCTGAAAAAAAAAAAAAAAAAAAAAAAGATGAAAAACCAGAGTCAATTAGACTCCTCTCCTTAAGAAATCAGTCCTGTAGCTATTTTGTGAATTACATTCACTGCAAGGAGTAGATAAAAATAATTTTTAAAAAAAGTAAGTGTATAATTTCCTCCAGACTTCTGCGATGGACACTGCTTAGGCTACACGTAGAAAAATTGAACAGACTTCCTGGTAATTTTTCTTCTGTTCCAGAAATTAAATGATAAATTGTCTCCTTCATGCCCTTCATCTAGTTCGTTTTGGGGCCCTTCCTACCATGATACTGGACGACCAAAATGAGTGACATAGCTGTGGTTGCTGTCCCAAAACCTGATTCTGCAAATGCACTATGAAAAGTTTTGCCTACTGAATGTTCTGCTCCGAAGATCTGGGCTCAGAGTGGTATTTCCGAGATTTTTTTTTTCCCCCCTTCATAATGGATTTTGAACAACTGCCTCAGTTCTTGTTTCAGAGTTGGCTGCTCACTGTATTGTCACAAGGCAGAAATTTCAGTACAAAATAAGTAGATACTATGCATGAATGTGTTCAAATACAACTTACTTTTTTTTCAGTCCTATGTCAAGGATGTGTATTTGCAAACTGTCTTTCTCATCACTTGTGAGAAAGAGTGGCTAAGGTGGCAAAACACTGGGGGGAGGATATGAGGTAAAGGAGCTCTCTTTATCTTACCCAGCTTTTGTCTCAGAGCTAATTGCCCCTCTTGTGAGCAGGGACAGCTCCCAAGAGCTTCTGGGGCGTGGAGGAGAAAGATATGTTGGATCCCCAGTCAACTCTCTCAATGAGACTTTTGAAAGTGTTTATAATGGTTCCTGTACTCTGGGTTAGACACATGGGAGAAATAAACACCAGGTAATCTCAAGAGGTCAAAATAACACAAAAGTTTACTGGCAAACTTTTGAAAAAGCTGGAAACCTTGGCTAAAGACCTAGTACAACATCTGATCAATATAAAGCATTTCTCACAGCATTAATTTAACACGTCCAACTTAGCACACTTTAAACACGTTCTATTAAGTTACTGTAAATGGTCCTAGAAGAGGGAATTAGAAGAAGGAGTGAGGGACAGAGGGGATACAGAAAAGCACACATAGCTACCAATGCCTGTGTTCCAGCAGTGTTCAGATACGGACTTCAAAAGGAAGGTAGGGTCAAGACGTGCTGCACCAATGCTCAGCCTTAGAAGCCACAGGGCCTTCATGGGCTCTGCCCCCAGGTGGAACTTCTGCTCATTTGGCCATGCAGGAGCTGGGTTAGGCAGAGTGGAGCCCTGCCCCTTGTGTGCCAATGCAGGGCTGGAATAGAGGCTGGGGGGTTTGGGGGCAGGGCACTGCCTCACCAGGGCAAAGCTTGGCCTGCTCTCTGACACACACACAGACATCCTTGAATGTCTCAAGAAATCAGTCCTTCCTGTCTCTGGCAGGCACACGCTGCTCTTCAGAGACAGGGCTTGAGAGGGGCAGAAAACCAATTTTTTTTTTTTTTTAATCTTGCTGAGAAAATGCCAAGCAGTGCATTGAAAATGTGCATCTCTGAGGGGCTCGGCCAGCTTGGTGTTTTCATGTTGAGGTTCTCAGACATTGGGTCAGCAAGTATGAGGTGGAGAAAGAAATCCTGGGGTCCCAAGGATGGGTGGCTAGGAGCTGTTAATTAATTGAAGTGATTTGACTTGGGGCAAAGCTCATGTGGAGTCTTGGAGGTGGGTAATGAGAAAAAAATGGGTGTGCAACTGGTCAGTTACTGTCTAGAGAGAAGGAGAAAGGTGTCCAGGACCAGGATCTGATGTGAATTTTCTTCTGGGATGATGTGGGTTTGCAGAACTCTGCCAGACTGTGGGATGCATTTCAGGAACTAGAAACTGGTGGGAGCTGGTAGTATGATGAGTAATAGCATCTCTGGGAAGTAGGTGCTGCTGGGCTTTCCTGGCACCGGGTGGCCTCCTTGCCTGTGCCTGTTCCTGCAGTGAGCCCAGCACCCGAGCTCTGCAGTTCTGGGAGCTGTGTGCTTTAGGCAGGAGCCAAATCCGCTCTGGGGAGGCTGTGCTGACCCAGAACTAGTAAATCCTCCTGGGTACAAGCTGAATGTCTTTGCACTGTGCTCTATAATAACAGCAAGATATTAGCCAGGTGTCTGCATTGTTGCAAGAATGTCAGAGTCCCCCTGCTCCCTCAGGCCTGGTGGTTACAGAGAGTTCCAGATAAATGGCTGATAGTTATGTGGAACTGGCATCCAAGCAGCTGGCATCTAATATAACACATGCAGGAGCTGGGTGTTCCCGTCCTAGAATGTGAAATATTAGAACTAGGACAAAAAAATAGCACTAGAATAGTCTTCTTCCTCAAATTGTGCCAAAGCTAACCTAAAAAATGGTAATGTGGTATACGATAACTTCTGCAATTTCTCAAGATTGAATTGATGGCAGTGATGTCCAAACTCTTTAAAGGTGTTCACACTGTGCACTTTTCTGTCTTGGTGAACAGAAGAGTCTCCCAACAGGTCTGTTCTGCAGCTTAAATCTTTATGCTGTTTCAAAGCTGGATTGGGCAGGTGAGTGTTCCCAGCTGTGCTGCAGGTGCTGCCCACCGCTGCTGCAGAGGATTTGGCTGTAGATGAGCACAGACATTGTTTGACAGGATTGCAGGTGCCGGAGTTGGGACCTGAACACCCACTCACAGGTGAGTGTGGCAGGACAGACTGTTCTGGGTGGAAAGGGGCCCCTGATGGCGTCCTCTGAGAACTGCCCTGCAAGCCAAAACTAAGCCAAGCTCTTTTTTTAACTAGGTAATTATGTACAGTAATAATTATGATATGCAATTATATGCTGGTATATATCATGTATGTACTGTCTAAGACATTGGGAGTGTCACAGTAGCCACATTAACACAGAAGTTGGCTTTTACCCAAGCCTACTTATTTTACAAAATGATGTCACTGTCTGGTGGTAGCTCTTCGCTGTTACTGTTTCAGCTCTCTAAAATGACTTTTATGGCCCAGACACTGTCCCCAGCTTGCTTGTCCTGAGACCCCAGGTTCAGTCCTCACCCCATCAAGCTGCAAATAGTTGGATGCACTCAAAGAGAAACAAAAAGCAGCCCCAGAGGGTGGAGCCTGAGCACTTGCTGCAGGCAGGAGCTGTTCTACTTGCTGTGGTCGTCACCAGCATTTTGCAATAGGCTGACTTATGCTCAGATAACATGTAAATTGTATCTGAGTCTTTTTCATGCTTGGATGCTATAGCACTGCTCAGAGCAGACCTGAGTGTTGCCAGAGTGCAGAGCTGGCCACTGGTGTGGTCCAGGTTCTGGTGCTCCAGCATCGCACTGCCGGAGGGCAGCTGGATTCTGTAAGGTCTCTCTGCCTGGGCTGCAGTCACCTAACTGGGGCTGCCAGGGACTTCTGCCAGCATTACATTTGGACCTCTCTGGTAACAGAAGTTACTAGGTTTGGGGACAGGCCAAAACTTACACGCCCTTGGGGGTGTAAAGAAAAGGTCAGTCAGGGCAGTATCTAAGGCAAAGTTGAGGTTTGCAAAGAAGTCAGACTTAAAAGGACTTTTCTCATCTTGTCAGCTTAGCATGAGTCTGAGGCCCTCCACCTGTGTGTGTTACCATCAGAGCAGATGCCAAGCATGAATGCAGGCTGTGGGCTGGTTATGGAGAGGAAAGGCTATTCCCAGCACCTGGGTGCACGTGCAAGGTTGCTTTGAGGCCCTCTGTATTGAAAAACCTTACAAGGCTCCCTCTGGTTTGTAATGTGTGCCAGCCACACAGGGTGATCTTTGTCCTTTCTATCCTCTGGCAGGAACCTCAAGCGTGGCCAGAGCTTGGAGCGCAACGTTTGATGAAATCATAGGGCAGCACATTGAAAAATTTTGTATTAAATACATGACGATGGATGCTCCTGGAGTGCTAGCAAAATACCCAGACATCTTTGCTGTGGTGATAATCATCATCCTAACAGGTGAGAGGCACTGGAGGGTTTTGTGGGTCTTGCACCTCCTTCTTCTGTAATCTCATTGGTTGCTCTTGGAATAAGCAATAAGTCCTGATTTATTTTGAACAACATATTAAAGACTCTTTCTTTGCTACAAGTGTTGGAATGACCTATATAGCTGCTGTGGAGTTAGCACAGGGAACAGCCTGTTTACAAAGTTTTTAATTAGAGGAGAGCATTTTCAATATTTTTTGAGCCACTTTTAAAATCTTCAATCAAATTTTATATAAGGAGGAAAAGAAAAGATGACTTGTTATCCTCAATGAGGTATAGGAGTTTAATCCTTCCCTTCACAAATCCTATTACACAAGAATTTCATGCAGTTGGTCTATCAAACTTACTACCCTTTTGATAATCTGCCAATTTTTGATGCCTTGAGCCAGAAAAGTGAGAGGAAAACAGAAAGAGGACGCAGTTACAGTCTCATATACTATTTTGTTTTGGTTTTTTTTTAATATATATGAGCTTCAGTTTGCAGAAGTGACTACAAGACTCCAGAGAAATAAATGTGTCATAGACAGTCAGCACTTCCTTTTTTTTTCTAAAAATGTGCCAAGCCTTTGATCGTAAATTGGAAAAGTTTTGACAACTTGCAAGATCAAAATTCTTCCAAATGTTTACCACTGCTCCAACTGGATCTTGCAAAGCATTACCAAGTCTAGGCAAATTTAAAAAACTATGCTTCCATACTCGTCTGTGGTTTCCAGCAGGCAGAAGCTGCAGTGCCACTCTAGCGAGGTTATCCTGACATTTCTGATCAGAATGGCCTTCTCACAGTGTGAGCTGTGCTTTTGGGGACAGGCCTCATAAGCAAGGGATGCTTTGGCATTTGGGTTTGCATTCAGAGCTAGGACTGCATCGAGGCCTGCTGAAGCTAATAGCAGCCCTCTGTTTTCAGGATTACATCTGAATGGGAGAGATTTTCCTCTTTGTTCATTTGTATGTAATATGAATTGCGCTCATTTCAAATCAGAATCTGTTCTTTCACCTTGGATAGAATTTACAAAATTTAGAACTCCTTACTTTAGCACTGTTGAGGTGTCAAATTACAAAGGTTGCTTTATAGTAAGGTGGCATTATGCTCCCACATGAAGCAAATTCCATGGATTTTAATAAAAAAGGTAAACCATTCTTTTCTAAAAAAAAGCTGTTGAAAGAGCATATCATCACCACAAGTTTTTTTCTGCTTGTACTGCCTTGAGCTTCAGATTTTTAAAAAGTACCTTACAAGTTTTTGTGGGCTGGTATACAGTCTTATCAAACACTTCCCTGATATGGCTGTCTCAGCTTATTTCCTATTTTAAAAGAAGTAAAGGTAAGTAAACAGGATGCTCCGCTCTCATTGAAGTCCCTTGGAGTAGCAGTAAAAGAACACTTCTCCCTTGGGCCCATGTGAAATTTTTTAACTTGTCCTTCAGCCTTAGATTTGACTTAAAAGTTTAAGTTCTTAAAAATCAGAGACCTGAAGAGGAAGTTAAGTGAGCTTGTTGACCTGAGAAGCCAAGCTATGCTTCAGTGACATTTGCCAAGGCCTGTAGCCATGATCTTCTTCGGACAGATGATCTTAAGACCAAGCTGAAATCCTGCTCTCAGTGAACTCGCTGGCAAAGCTCTTGCTGGTTTAAGTGGGAGCAGGATTCTCAAGATGCCACCTTCTTCTTTGTCTTCAGCTCTAGAAGTAGCTATTAGAAGTGGAATACTTCTGGATTTGGTCCCTGCTCATATTTTCCCGTTTCTAAGGAAAGTTGAGTGTGGTTCATAAATTCTACATTTGGCCAAGACCTCTAAGACAATGTTCCTTTATTGAAAACCACCTGTTGTGCTTTCTCTGGGTCTCTGTATGGAGTTTGAGGCTGTGGGAGTAGTTTAAGTGTATTAGCAAAGCACTTTACCAGGGACACAGTCCACATGGGCATGCTGGGTGGGAAGGTGTGTCACATTCTGCAGTTATGTCTGAGCTGGAGTCCTCATCCTACTACTGGGTGAGTTAATCCTGAGCTACCTGGCTTTGTGAAGAAATAAGGTGTGATAATTTGGGCAGAGCACAGCATGAACACAGTTGAGCTATGTCTGTGTGTCTGCAGCACCTGCTGCTGATGGTGAAATACCTGACCTGTGCCATTTTTTCCTCAGGGCTTTTAGCTTTTGGTGTGAAAGAATCTGCCCTGGTGAACAAAGTGTTCACCTGCATCAACGTCCTTGTCCTTGGATTTGTCATGATCTCCGGCTTTGTGAAAGGATCTGTTAAAAACTGGAATCTGACCGAACAGGACATTTACAACACCAGCCACAGCATTTTCAAAGACAAGTCGGTTGGATGTTTTCTTTTCATCTCAGAAAATGCATTTTCAAAAGCAAGTTTAAATGGGGGGTTTTGGACTGAGTTAGAAAACCAGTGAGTGGGATGGCTGCCTCCTTTGCCAGATACCTTGGAGGCAAAGCTGTCTTTGGTGGGTGTTTGCTGAAAGCAGGCTGTGCTGATGGGCTGAAAGTGCCAGGAGTAGGCTGTGTCATCGTGGGCCCTGCTGCAGGACTGACCATATCTAGCCTTATAACCAGTATAGCATCCAAAGTTGAGACAAAAGAGCTCTTTAGACAGTGTCCTACTCAAGTCTGCACCAGGCTGGCTCTAGTGCCTCTATGAAGCCATGTCCAAGTATAGCTGTGTATTTTTTTGAACACTTGGGCAATATCCTTGGGGCTTGGTTATACCATATAGAGACCTTGTTCCAAATTCCTCAATAAAATGAAGGCAAGTTGCAGATTATTTTAGTGCATTGCAGCAAGCATATCATAAATCTGTTTTTAATGACATTTTGCTGCTTGGCCAAAATTCTGTCATCCTACACAAGATCAAAATTAAGGTGCTTACAAGGCTTGCTATTGAGACAGAGCTATTAGTTTTTGCTTGAGACTGTACCACATGGAATAAGGGCATTTAAATATCTCCTCCTATATCAGCTCAGTCCTGGCTTGCTACCTAAACCCTTTATGATGGTCTGCAAGGAAGCACAGTTGGGCAAAATCTGGTGAGATTCATAAATGTTGTGTGGGTCAAATTTATCTTGTGTAAAAGAAGCTTCTTGATCCTCTCTTCAAAATTCAACCTGCTGCAAACAAATTGCTTCTATAGGACAGGTTCCCTGTCCTTCCCTCCTGCTATTCCCATGCAAGGAGAAATTACTGCAAGAGTTTCAAAGTGTAAGTGCAGCTCTTTGACCTGTAGGACGTACTATATTTGTAAAATCTGTCTGGGGTTTATTTTATCATTATTTCCAGAGTAATCCACATTTGAGTTGTGCTATTTTTATAGGCCAGTTTTCATCTAGGTCTCAGCAGAGCTTCTGTGAGAGAGTTCAGATGCTTATACGTGAGAAGACATGCAGATTTGGGACTTACTTAACTGCCTTAATTCATCTTTACAAAGGCTTTTCACTGAAAAAGTGACCTAAGTCACTGGAACCGAAGGGTATGCTTGTTAAATGTCACTCAACACAAGGCACATGGATCTGGGGTTGCAATCCAGAGAGAACTGGGATCTGCCTGTGTTTGTCTGTTGACTTAAATGAATTTTGGATAAGGCTCAGCAAAACATTTGGTGTGTGTCAGGAATCCATGCTCCACTTCTCTCTCACAGGCATGGTTTGAGTATGAGCTTGGCACAAGGAATTCGGAAGTTGAGAATGGAAGATGGGGTGGATTTTAAACAATCATGGCACCCTGCATTCCACTTCTATGTCTGCTCACCTACCCTTAATCTGAGTCCATCTGAAGTAAAAAGTGCGTGGTTCCCATGTTTCTCAGTCTTCAGCTTTTCCAAAAGCTTCTGTTTAAAAGAATGTATGTGTCTACACACATGCAGTAATGTTAGGAGAGGATTTTTAATATTCATGCTATTTTTATCCACTGCACAAAACAGGTGGTGGGAACAAACCATGAACCATTTCTATTGCATATATTCCCCAGGCTCTTTCAGGCTGGTCCAAAGCTCAGCCGTGGGTAGGGCTTAGCATTTTGCCTGGTATTTGTGTGTGAGCATATGAAAGGGAGAGCCTGCTTCTTCAGACTTTGGCTTTGGATTTGGTTATGAGCTGTGTGAATAGCTTTGTGATTCCCAGCTAGGCAGGATCACTAACCCAGTGCCATGCCTTTCAGTCAAACACAGGAAGGAAAGCTCTACGGTGTTGGAGGGTTTATGCCCTATGGATGGAAAGGAGTTCTCTCAGGGGCAGCCACGTGTTTTTATGCTTTCGTGGGATTTGACTGTATTGCTACTACAGGTAAGAGGAAGATGTCTTCATTCTGGTTGTGAACCTGGCTGCTGGTAGATTGACTTTCAGTAACATTGCAGAGCACAGATAACAGGGAATTCAGGACACTGCATTTGTTGTCCCTCTGAACCTCAGCTCAAAATAGGCTTTTGGCTCAGCTGCCTCTAATAGTGAAAGTGCTAGATTTGTTAAAGTCCTTGAGTGCCTGAGTGCTGACTTGTAGCTGCTGTGGCACACGGATAAACTGTATAATCATGAGCTTCCTGTTGTCTTTGCCTGCAGGGCCCAAGCTTGTGGATGGTCAGTGATGACACTAACCAGGTCAAACTCCACAGAAATCTTGTCCAGGTTTATCAGCTAGGCAAAGAGGGAAGGCCCAGTTTCAAATGCTTGATATGAGTTTGAGTCTCTAACTCCAGATGATACTTTAATCAACAGGTTATTCTGGGACAGAGTTCTTCAGTGCTTTCAGCTGAAAGAGCTCTGATGGCTTGGAGTATTTTAAAGATCCAGAGAAAGAGGAAGCCTCTGGGGAGTCAATGGCACCCAAGAGCTGTGCCTCAGAATCAGGAATTTTTACCTGTAAAGGTTAAGAGGTCTCATTTTGAGAGAGAAGGCATCAGCATAGTCATATTTCTTGTGGCTAAGTTGAATCTTAATTCCCTGAAGAAAGGATTATCCTTAATTTCACATCTGACAAGAAGGGTTGAAGCAGAGGGAGAAGGGAATCATCACAGACAGATAAAGCATTAGTGCATCTTGCTCCAAGCAAGGAGTTGGAGAAGTGTTGGCTCCATTACTCCACCTAACCCTGGAGCCTCTCCTGGGAGAAACATTCATCTGCTTTTGACTTGTAGGTGTATGGATCTGTGTTTATCAGTTCATCCTGCTGAAATGCTGCTCCTCCAGAGCTTTTGCTTTCAGAGAAGTTCTGTAGGACTAGGAAAGCGCAAATCTGTTCAGTAATTGATCAGTGCCTGAATTTTGAGGAATTTTGATTTTTCATACGCATTTTGTCCTACTTTTTTGGTTGTTGAAAATTTTCCATAACAACTAGAGGGGGTCCTTTTGTTAAAAGGCATTTTCAAAGATCCATATGACTTTCAGGCACTCTGCCTTTCTCTGGAAGTGGCAGATGTTACTAAAATGGACATCCACAGATTTCCCCTACAACTGCACAGTAATATCTTGTTCCATCATCTGTGATCCTTGAACTCTTCTTGGGTCTGCACCATCAGTAGGATAGAATGAATAGGATAAAAGGATGATCTGTTTTGAGGAAAGGACTGTTTTAAATCCAGATTGTTTCTGCGCCTGGGTTTACAAGGCTTCCATGAATGTGTGTCAGAAGAAGTGGTAGGAGCAGCAGAAATGGGAGCAAACAGGCTGTGGTATCCCAAGTGGATGGAGCAGGCCATCAGCATCATGGTCAAAGAGCACCTCTGTGCCCATGAAACCTTTGAAAGACGCAGCCAGCACACCTGCCCTAGGTTGGGATAAAGGTCTTGCTTGTCATTTAGCTGATATTTAAATTCCTTTCTTCTAGGTGAGGAGGTAAAAAACCCTCAGAAGGCCATTCCTATTGGCATTGTGGCATCTCTTCTCATCTGCTTTGTGGCTTATTTTGGCGTGTCGGCTGCCCTGACGCTCATGATGCCTTACTACCAGCTGGATACCAATAGCCCTTTACCCAATGCCTTTAAATATGTGGGTTGGGATGGAGCCAATTATGCAGTGGCTGTCGGTTCCTTGTGTGCACTTTCTACAAGGTAAGACACTGCTCTTCATTTTTGTATCTCTCAAGGCAAACATGTACCTCCACCTCCTTTAAGAAATGGAGTGGAGACCAGGGATGAAATTCAGAGCTACTGACCTCAAAAGAACTGGGATTTCACCCTGTGGTAGGTACCAGAGAAGCAGGTGATGAGTATCACTTCAGAAATTTCCATCTTAGCAGAAGACCCATCAGGTGCATCTCAGGAATATAAATCTGGATTGAGTCACTAAGTCATAGAGGCAACTGTGTAATGCAAGCATGGTTTGGGTGCAAGACATCCTGGCCTGCTTAGTGGAGAGCAGACTTGTGTCAGACAAGGCAGGGTACATCTTCACGAGCTCATGGGGCTTACCATATCCAGGGCCATCTGTCTGCAGATTACCTGCAGGACAGCCATCTGGATGGGAAGCAGGGCAGGCTGGAGGCAGAACATGTCACCTCCTGAACTTGGAAGACCTATTTCAGATCAGCTTAGACATACTCCATTAGGTGAGCAACTGACAGAGGCTTATAGAAGTTACAGCTCTTTTACTGCCTGAAAGTCAGTCTGCTTTTTGCCCCATGGCTAAGTTCAGCTACCCAAAATTGTAGAGCTGAACCTCAGTTACCAGCTATCAGTAACATGGATGTTCAGAGGGAGCCCTTGAAGGAGAAGCTGAAGTGAACAAAAGCCACCTGTTCTATAGTTACACTGCCATAAACTTGCTTTCACTTGTGTGCCTGTTCTCAGCAGGAGGTGACATAAGTAGATTATTTCTCCTTCCTGTGTCTGCAGTCTCCTTGGCTCCATGTTTCCGATGCCTCGAATAATTTATGCTATGGCAGAAGATGGACTTCTCTTTAAATTTTTGGCTAAAGTCAACGAGAAGAGGAAAACTCCCTTAGTTGCAACAGTGACATCAGGAGCTACTGCAGGTAAGATCCAAAGACTTGCACGAATCTGTGAAAAGGAGATTAAGCTCATCTTAAGGGCAGATAAGTCCACCTGACTCTAGCCCACTTACTAATTGGATATATTGCAGAACACAGCATCCCAGAGGGTGTCCTGGATTTCCAGGGCACGCCCTGGAGAGTCTGGGTGAGCATGAGTAGCTTGCTGTGTGCTTGTCCCTCTTTCTCAGAGCTCATTGCTGCCATCCTGTCTCATGCCAGGAACTATCTTTATCTGCTCAGCCAGCCTTAAAAGTAATTAACTCCCTGCAAGGTAGCAGCCAGTGGTGCCCCGGCATCCTTGTGGCTGTTGGCCTGGCTTGGCCGAAGACACGGCACCGCCCGTGGGTGGCAGCTCTGCCAGAGCAGCCGGAGACTGGCAGATGGCACCTGTGCCATTGGCATTTGTTAATCAGTTAGTCACAGCTGGCAGCTATCCTGTTCTCCTCTTCCTTCTCCTGGCCCCCTAGAAATACGGGAATTAAACCTCCCAGACAGCAAGGGTGAGCAGCTTACCCTGTTCTTGCAGCCACCAAGGGTGAGCAGCTTACCCTGTTCTTGCAGCCACCCCCTTCCTCATGACGCCTGGCAAAGAGGAGATCCTTGCTGTTTCCTCTTTACCTTCTGCTGCAAATGCAGGATGAGCCGTGGGTACAAGAATGTGCGACCTTTGGTGGGGAGTTGTGTCGTCCTGTGAAAGGGCTCAGCTCCTGCTTCTGGGACTCACAGAGTCTCCTCACAGCTTCCTTCTCCCACAACTTCCTCTTCAGGTATTCTTGGCTCTGGACCATGGTGGGGTAAGGAAAAAGGGCTAATAAAAAAAAGCATTGCAGTTTCATCCAAGTGGTCCATAGTGTTTATGACTAAAACAAACATGAAGCTGCAGGGACAGCATTTGCCAGCTGAGTTTGAAGGTTGGGCTAGTTGTTTGGCTCCAGGTTGTGCTTTAAGGCTGGCCTGGGCCAGGCTCAGCTCTGAGGTCCCTGCACTCTCATATGACTGTTGGTGTCACCTGATGTCTGACTGCGTGTCTTTTATCCACTTACTTGCCTTCTGAAAGCCTTACACAAAGTCTTGTACAACCAGGGTTACCTGGTGAGGGTCTGTAAGCAGGGTAATCCCTAAGGAATGGCAGCCTTTTTCTGGAAATGCCCATGATGATATCTGCTTCTTCAAGATGCCTTCTTTGATGCTTGGTCCCATTGCTTGCTCAAGCCTGATTTCACCCCAGCTGAATTGAGACACCATGTTGCCCATCCTCTGTTCCCTGTAGCTACTTCCAAGAGATAATTGTGACTTAAAGAATGTTGCAGCTTCACTGGGCGACTAACAATGAAGTTGTGGCTTAAACCCCTGCTTTTTGTTGGTAGTTGGGCGAACATAGCTGTGTGAAAACTGGAATTTGTGGACAAGGCTGGAATTTACTCTAGTAAGCATTTCCTGTTGTTTCAGCTAGTGAGTCTGGGACAGCCTGTGGAGTCTTAGGGTATTCATGCAGCAAGGCCTGCCTCTCCTTGTCTTGAGATATCTTGAGCTCCCCTACCAAGTCCTGAGCAAGAGTCATGTGTGCTGCATCGTTATTAACTCTCCTGAAATGTGCATGTTCTGCCATGTTGCTGATTTTTCTTCTCTCTTACCTTCCTCTCCTCCTACAGCTGTTATGGCCTTTCTCTTTGACTTGAAAGATCTTGTGGACCTCATGTCCATTGGGACCCTCCTGGCTTACTCCTTGGTAGCAGCCTGTGTGTTGGTACTGAGGTAAGAATGTAGAAGCTTTGTCTCTTCTTGCACACAGAGAGAATTTCACACAGCAGTCAGATGTTCTCATAGTTTCTGTGGGCACATCTCCAGCTACAAGCATGTGAAGAACTTGTTTCTTTTAAGCTCGTGGGGGACTGTGTTAGTTGGATCTACAGGGAGGTCCTTTGAACTAGCTAACCCTTGTTCCATACCAGTCCTGCTGTGGTCAGCTCTAAATGCCCCAGGAGATGCACCAAGGTTAGTGAGGAAAGATGTGTGATCCTGAATGCCTTCAGATTCCTGGACCACTCTCGTCCCCACCAGTGGGGATATCATTTCAGGTTGTCCTCCTTTTGAAAGGGGATTTGAGATGAAGTCTAGCAGCAGGAAAAGAACAGAGCATGTGTTTTCAGGATCAGTGTGTGTCTTTTAAACGTGCTGAGCTCCCACGGCTTCCTAAACCTAAGCTAAAAATCTCGGGTCTTCAGTTCTTGGCGCCTTACAGACAACAGCACTCGTTTAATGAAAAAAAAATGTCTGAAGATCATATTACTGAAAAATACCTTTGTGTGTTGAATGACTTATTCAGAATTGGAGGCTTTCACAGCAACTGCACTGAACTAAGAACAGTCTTGCAGCGGGTGAAGGGCTGGTGCTGTTTGGTAGTACCATTGCTTTGTGTTGGTGCTCTCCTCCCTGCCCCTTGAAAATTCTTGCCATTTGCCTTGTCCATCTTAAGTTTCCTGATTTCCCAGCCTACTCTTTTTCTCAGAGCTAAAGATGGCTTTTTAATTTGTTTTTGCAAGCAGCTGTACCTATTGCATGACATTTCCCCCATCATGGGTTGGCAGAGCCGAGAGCCTGTTTTGTAGTGGCCTGGGCAGCTGATTTGTCTGCCCCTTAACGGCTTAATGATGTAGCAGCTGAATTGTTTCCAGAGCTGTAAGATCTTGCCACTAGTTTATTTCTGTGGCTGGACCCAAGGATTTCACTGCATTTCACAATTCTCAATGTTTAGCAAATGCCTCATTGTGAATGCATCCCCACAGGAACAGTTTTAAGGTGACTTTCAAAGTGGCCCAGTCCTTTAGTCAGACTTGTGGCTAAGTAACTTGACAAAACCTTCTGTAACAGAGAGCTGCGGCTGGAAGAGTGCTTTCAATGTATGGATCCACACTGTGTGTCACAGCACTGTTGAATGTGCTGTCCACACATGCGAAAACTATTCTTGCTTCAGCTCTTCCGTCCCTGTGGCAGCAGACAAGCTGGCAGAAAGCCTGGGGTGGTACCTTCAGAGCTGTTAGCTCAGCCACCTCCTTGCCAAAATGCAGGAGCTGAACTGCTGCAGGTGACACAATGGCCTGGTTATGACCATCAGTCTGTCCCTCTGCTGTTTGCTTCTCCTGTCACTCAGTCATGTCTTGGTGACATGAATGACAGAGTTCATGAAAAGGAAGCACTGTTGATTTTAAAGCAGTTATATTACAACCAAGCTGTAGGTGATAAGAACTGGCCATATTTGCTTACCTCATGATGACATCATGCCTCAAATTTCCCCTTGAAGCAGAAGGGTATAGATGTGACATGGGCCTGTTCTGGTGCTGTAAAGGTCTGTCTTGCAGCCATGACTATCTGTGTGGCTTTTAAATTAGCGGTACCTTCATTTAAAAGCCAAATTAACAAGCTCTTTGTGTCATTTTCTTTTTCTAGGTACCAGCCTGAGCAGCCTAATTTGGCATACCAGATGGCTAGGTCAACAGAGGAGACAGATAACAATGAGTCTGTGAGCACCAGTGAATCGCAGGCTGGGTTTCTGCCAGAGGAAGAGGAGAAGTTTTCCATCAAAGCCATACTGTGTTCCACAGATTCAGATCCTTCCAAATTCTCTGGTTTGGTGGTGAACGTCTCAACCTTCATCATTGGTAAGTGCTGGGCAGTGTGTCTTTGGGGCAGTGAGTTAGTGGTAGGGCTTTGTATTCACCTTGCTGGGAAAACTCACCTTCTTGATGTGATTTTGATGAGTTCTTGTAATGGCCAGAATAATTGAAAATTAAATTTCTGACTTAAAAATAAATCCACAGATGGAATGTGTGGGGGTGTATAGTGGGAAAGGCATACCTGTTATGGTTAGGGTTTTTGTGAGTCACTGTTTTGTTTTGTTGTGAGCTTTCAGATTCTGCTTTGCCTGATTATAATTTGTTCTTGGGTTTTCCCTGTATCCAAAAAAAAAATAATAATAATAAAAAAAAATCAGTAACCTTTGGTGTCTGTTCACAGGTTTCCTTATTGTGGGTATCTGTATCCTGACTTCCCTTGAGCCAAACATTCTGATAAACACTGTACAGATTATTGCTGCCATCCTTGTTGTCACTATCATCTTCATTATACGGAAACAACCTGAAAGCAAAACCAAACTCTCCTTTAAGGTGAATGTCCTGGGACATGTAGCTAGAAAAGAGGTGTCTGGGAGGTGGTTGGAGGAGGAAGTGCATGTGTTGGCCCATATCAGAAGGGGGGCACTGGCCAAATGGACATGCATATAATATAGGCATGATGTGAACTTTTCTATCCAGGAGATGCTGGAAAGGCAGAACCTGCTGCAGAGGTGTGGCTGGAAGGGAAGGGCAGGACCCTGCATTTGAAAGTAGATGGTTATAGGACAGGGAAGAGACAGAGATTGGAGGAAAAGGGATGGTTGTGAAGGGCCACATCAGACCATGGATACAAAAGGAGAAAGAACACAAGAAGTAAACTTGTTTCTGAAGAGCTAAGGCTCTGAGAAAGTGCACTTCCATGTCCTCCTTAGTCCCCATGGAGGCTACGGGATGACCATTCTTAAACAGCCTTAAGTATGAGGAACTTTGCTGTTTTCCTGTCCTCTCTGAGCACACCATCCTTTCTATATTAAACACACTGGGATGGGACTTTTCTCCCCATGTAACCTTATAAGTCATGCTTTATCATATTGATTTCAGGTTTATTACAGTTTCTTAATGTAGTACATTAATTTTGGATTATAATTCCATCCTCTAAACTGCTTTCATTTCAATTGCTCTTTAGTTAAAGTTTTTCAGTAAATTCACAGATTTTAAAAACTTAATACAACCGGAGCTTTCCAAGGTTGTGTTTGCAGCTCATTTTGGGGTTATGTTTTTCCCCTGTTGGCCACTACTCTGTCCAAGAAAAATGAAGATTATACCTGTCACAGTTAAATCTGTAATCATAACATCATGGAATCATTTAAGTTGGAAAAGACCTTTAAGATCATCAGGTCCAACTGCTAGCCCAGGACTGCCAAGTCCACCTCTAAACCATGTTCCTCAGTGCCACATCTACATGTCTTTTAAACACCTCCAGGTGGGATGACTACACCACCTCCCTGGGTAGCCTGTTCCAATGCTGGACAACCTTGTTTCTTATCTCCTTGCTGTTCTTTGGGCATTTACAACCTGACTGTGATTTTTCTCCAAAATCACTCTGGAAATCTAAGGCTGACCTATCTGTTTCCCAGTTGTTTTTCTGTATTTTTTTTAATACGTAATTTTTCTACCTTCTCCAGTCTTCAGAGACATTACCAGTCTACCAAGAGCTCTGAGTTGCTTATTTAATAGTTTAGAGATCACTTCTACAAAATTTAGAAAAATACTCTTCTTTTCTAATTTGTGTACCTATCCTTTTTCTCTAATGATGTGAGCAGCTACTTTACATTTATTTTTTTTTTGCAAAGCTTAAATCAAGAAAGACCCACATTTCAGCCTGTTTGTTTTTGTAAATTTCCTTTTCCCTTAGGAGTGAAGTTCGCTTTCCACTTAATTCCACCATATTCAAAAACTTTTCTATTATAATTTGCCTTGTTTGATTTTATATTTGCAGTGCTATTTTTTGTATTATTTTTGCATTTTGGTTTTGCTGTCTCATTCATCTTTGATTCTCAGGCCACTAAGGCATTCTTGGTACAGCTCTAGTCATCTCTTGCAGTATTTGCTGATTTTCTTTGCTTTGGGATAATGTGCTCTCTATTGCTTCACTGCCTTGGTACCTGATGGATGAAGTTCCTCAGGTTCCTGCTCTGACATTCCCCTTACCTTCATCTCTTGGTCTTCAATAGGAGCTTGTCATAATACAGTCCTTGGTTTTTACTCTTCTCTTCTTTGCCCAGCATTTAGTATTGCCATTAAAATTTCTCTCCTGCCTCCTTCTAGACCACAAAACAAGCTTTTAAAACAGGTGAACAGCATGGTTCACATCCCCCTCCTATGGTGGACTGATGTCCTTTTGGGTTTAACCTTGCCTTTTCTCAGATCTGGCAGCTGAAGAGTTGGTAACAACCATCACTTGCCATTTACAAGGGATGTGATGTTCTTTCCTGCTCATTAATCATCCTTGTAAATGTCACATATCTCTTGTTCTTTTTCAGGTACCTTTTTTGCCCTTTCTTCCTGTTGGGAGTATTTTTGTGAATGTTTACCTCATGATGCAGCTAGATGCAGGCACATGGATTCGATTTGCAATCTGGATGCTCCTAGGTGAGTTAGAGTGAAAAATGCTATGCTAGATTTTAACAATAAATTTCTTGTAGCATTCAAGGGAGGCATTCTGCACTCTGATCATCCATGGGCAACCCTGTGACTTGACTGAAGCCGTTTAGCCAGCGTGTAACAAGCTTTCTTTCAAATTCAAGGGTCTTGAAGCCTTTTAGTAGACAAAACAACAGCCCATGAACCATCTTATGGCTCTTGTTGCCAACAAGAAATCATAGAGCATTTCTTGCTGGCTGGCCTTGCGCTGCTGTCCAGGTGGTGGGGCTTGTGCTTCTGGAGCTGAAGAAGCTGAGCTGCATCCCAAGATGCTCCCAGCAGCCATGTAGATAAGGCTGAATTGTCTGAAATGCTCAAATCAGGATCCCCTTAGGGGCTGGGATAGACTGACTTTTAAAGACTGGTGCCTGTGTTAATGGCTCTTTTCCCTAAGGAAGATAGTGGCTGTCTGCTAACACTTGGGTAACTTGTGTCAGTGGCTGTGAGTTACAGTTTCTGTTTCTTTACAGAGCTAACAATGTCCTCTCCCTTGGCTTCCACAGGCTTTATCATCTACTTTACCTATGGAATATGGCACAGTGTGGAAGCCAGCTATGCAGCCTCAGCAGAAGTGGAAAGAAACACAGACACCGGCTCAGACAGCTGTAAATGACTGTTTGGCTTACGGGCGACTGAAAGAATGGCTGCAGTGAGAGAAACTTTGTGGTGGGGATCCCGAACCAGATGACACCTGTAATCAGTTATGCAGGAATAAGGAAGTGGAATGCAGGCCTCCCCAACAGTTACTGCAGCCTGCAGTTTGTTTAGCAGCACAGTTAAAAGGGACCACAAGATAAAAAGACACAACTCTGGCATATTCCCAGTAGCACTGGCAGCTCATCTGGGGCTCTTCCCTCTCTCCCTCTCCCGTTTTGGTTTTTTTTTTCCCTGGTGTGTAGAAAGAGAACTGCTTCTGTGTGCAAATGCTGCTAAGAAACCAGGCCTCACAAATGTCCTTCTTTCAGTAGTCCCAGGAATTACCTCCCCACAGATATTCTACTTGATTATACATGGAGCAGATTTTGCAGTGCTACTGTCAGGCATAGACCAGGATCCATCCTTCACCCTATATGAGCTGTACCCTCTGTATACAAACAGAAAAAAACAAAAGGTTCTCACTAAACACTATATTTCACCAGGCTAACAAAGCACCTGCAAGATTTGCCTTCTTTAAAGTATCAGGTCTTACCTTTTTTGTTTTATTTGACTGGGTTTTTTAGCTACGTGCTCACGTGCTTTAAAGCACGTCACTGCTGTGAAACATTGGCAAGGTTTGTGGTCGCTGGTTGTCAGGTGAGTGATTGCTTGCCAGCACACAGGTGACACCAGCAGGTGATTCTCCCAACTGTATGCTCCACAGAGGAATTTCCAACTTTAGTCAGGAAACCATGTGGTGCAAGTACTGCAAAGGCTTGAAAACAACAGGTGTCTCCAAAGAGCAGTTCTGCCTCTTTGCCTCAGAAATCACCAGTGGTGTAGCTGTAGTGGTGGGGGTGGCCAGCAGAACTGAGCTAGCTATGACAGAAAGTGGAGCCCTCTGTTCCTCCCCCCACATCCGTTTTGTGTGCTGGCTGCCTGGCATTAGCAACTTTGGTTTGGCATTGGTGGGTGGGGAACATTCCTGCCCTGGAAGCACAGGAGGATCCTCAGAGACACAAGGTTCTTACAGGAGCAATGCCTGGTGTCTGCCCCCTGCCCAGGGGAAGCTGTGGTGCTGTGTACAGGCTTCTCAGTCCTGGCAGAGCCTGCAGCCCAGAAAACACCATTAAGCTCTAGGGTCTGATTTGCTGAGGGGAGCTTTCCCTTTGGGGCTGGAGATAGCCTCCAGAGCCTGCCTGTAGTGAAAGGTGGGAAACTTGGAGTTGAAACCAGGGTCTATATTTGATTGGCAATGCCTTGGCTTGGGCTGTAAGGTGATTTTTTTGTTTTAATTCTCTCTAATAGCTTTCCCTAGCCAAATGAATCCATTACCCTAAAAAGGCTTATTAAAGCACTGTGAAGGTGAGCCATGCCCAAGTAATGCCACTGATCTAGATTAACACTTCAGCTTGTACTGAAAAACAAATCATAGAACTATGGAATGGTTTGGGTTGGAAACGCGCCTTTGAAGATCATTTGGTCCAGCTTATCTGACATCAACAGGGATATCTTTAACTAGATCAGGTTGCTCAAAACTCTGTCTAACCTGCTCTCAAATACTTCTGGGGTCAGAACATCCCAGATGGATGCTGCAGAAATCCCCTTTCCCGATGTGAGTGGATGCTTTCCTAGGTGTCCTTCATACTACTGCCTCTGAACACTGGACAATCTTTAATTTGTTTGTCAGCATGGCTCTTGCTGATGAAGCAACAGGCTTTTGTACCTGTCATTGAGTTGGAGAACTGAACAAACTGAACAGACCCCTGCATGACTTGCCCAGGGTCTCACCAGGCATTTGATGCAGCAGAAGGGGGAATCAGACTATCTCCTGGATTACGTGGTTGGATTTTGGACCATTTCTTATGTTTCCAAGAGACTTTATAGCTTTTCTGCCTACTGAAGGGTTTTTATCTTTTAATTCTAGTACACTGGGAGGCTCTTCTTGTCAGGATTGTAATTTGAGGAAGTGAAGGCAATGTGTTCTTTGCCTCTGATGTGCACTTCAGGGTGTGTTGAGTGCACCTTGCCCCACAGAATGAAGTTGGGGGCCTGCTCCAGTCGCTGCGTCTTGACCATCTACCACGCCTTTGCTCCTTGTGCATATACAAAGTCTTACTCAAGCAGGGAGAGATGAATATAGAAATTAAAAGCCATTAAGTTGAAGTCTATTTTGTTTAAACACAGGCAAGGTCAACACACTCCACAGCTTCCCAAAAGGCACTGTAAATGTGGTGGGAGGGCAACAAGATGAAAACTAAGACAGGATCAAAGTTTCGTATTGTACTAAAAATATAAGGATGTTTTTCCTACCTGGCTACCAGCTTCTATTCAATGAAAACATGAAGCTTGTGTCCTTGCCAAAGCCCATCTGTGCTGAGCAAGCCTGGTGAAAAGTCTTTCAGGAGGATGTTGTCAGGCACATTCCCAAGGTGGTATATGACCTGGTCCCTTTTTAATCCGTGTGGCAAAGCCTGAGAAGTTCTGTAGCTCTCATCAGGAGGGCAAGGTGAAGGGGCAGGGGATGGGATGTTGAAACTGAGTGAACTGGAACATTGGGGAGTTCAGGTGTTTGCTGATGAGCCTGAATCACTGGCAGAAATGTTCCCATTACCATATGCTGCAGCATGGCACTTTAATGGAAACGTTGTAGACCACAATCACTGTTCTGGGAGCCCCAGTCATACGGGAAGCATCCTAGAAAATGAGTCCATGGAAACTCATAGCGTGTGAGCCTTTGTTACGTAACGCAGCTGACCAGCCCTGCTGCCAGGAAGCTTCTTTACCTTAATGGGGTAACCCTCTAATGCAGGGGGTTTTGCTTTGTTTCCCATTCATCCCAGTTTCTGTGCGCACAGAAAACACGACAGGACCTGCTGATCTGTATGCGTCAGCCCACAGGTGCACTGGCGCACGGATTTATTATCAGGAATATATTACACTTATCTGTACATCATACTTGAAATAATACAAACTCTTCCTGTAACCATTAGCCACATAATAAACGGGACCACAGAACTCCTGCTGCATGGGAAACTGTACAGAGGCTCCTCAGAGTGTCCATGGGACACAACCACCATCAGTGCAGAGACAAAATACCTGATTTTGCACTTGATAGTTTTTCCTTTCTCCCCCCCTGCCACCACCACAAGCCTTTGCTGCTGTGCATCAACTGAGTCGACCCATCTGTGCCAGCAGTCACTGGAGGTGCAATCCCAGTAGGGCGAAATGGTACCTTCCCACAATAAAAAGGAATTTTCCATGCCCCCTACTTGCTGCTGGCTCTCCTGCCATCCCATGGCTGATACCTGCTCCCAGTGCTCATCTCTGGAACCCCTTGGGAGCAGCTGTAGACTGGTTTTATTGCTGCTACACTCTTCTGCATTGAGTAAAGATTAACAAAATCAAACTGCTTCCTTAAAGACAGAGTTATAAAACCCTTTATGCTTAGCGCTGGCTACATTCCCTCTACTGCCAAAGGCCATCCTATTTCTAAATGGGAAAGTCCCCACAGTGGCCATGGCGTTGGGGAAGTTTCCAGCCCTGCAAAAGCAAACACTTCCCCTTGCTTGTCTTTGAACAGGGATGGCCAAGGTGCATGGACTAGAGCTTCGGCCCCTACCGTGCTGGGAATGCTAAGCTCACCTGGCATGGTTGGAGCTCCCTGGCAAGAGCAGGGCTTACCAGCTTGGCCATGCATCCAGGGATCTTCATTCCCTAGGAATGGCTGCCCCAGTAAGGGGCTGGTCCCTTCCTCCCACTGTCCGAGTGACCTGGGCCTTTCTTTTGCACCTACATCAGCATGCAGAGGCGAAGAAAGGACAGAAGAAAAGTATAAAAAGGGAATAACCTTTTTTCTGGAAAAAAGTCTGTTTCTGGGCATGCACCAGAAGGAGCCACTCTTCACACTCCCCACAAGGACGGGTTGCTGGGTCCCTCTGGTTAGGCAGAACTTCCTGCAGCTTTGCTAGTGATTGGCCAGGCCCCAGAGGGTGTGTCAAGGAAGAATCCAGTGAGAGGCAGGATTGGGAGGCAAAAAATCAGATGGGAAAGGGATTGGCAATGATACCAAATGATGAAGGAGCTGGGTTCAGTCCCAGTTTTCCCACTGTAAAAGCCCCACTCCCAATTCACTGCTGGAAGCATCTCTTGAATATGAGATTAAACCAACAAAGTGATAAGGAAAGCACCAGATATAAAGGGGAAAAATGAACAAATTACAACAGGTCCAGCCAGACTGTCCTGGGTCAATAATATGCTTTAGTGCATTTAGAGTAGCATCAAGGTAACAACTCCAGTTTACATCTCAACCATTTTTACAAAGGGTAAAAAAGGAGAATCCTAGAAACTACCAACAGGTCACTGACTAATCTGATGGTGTTCTGCAGTGGTGTGACTGTGTTGGTGAGTGAGGGATGAGCAACTGATGTCATCTACCTGGATTTTGCAAGGCCTTTGACAGCAGAGTCCTACACATAGTCCTACACAGCATCCTGAACTGGGGAGACATGGCTTTGATGGATAGAAGCTGGATATGGGATTGGCTGGATGGTTGCATCCAGAACAGCTCAGTGTCCAAATGGCGATCAGTAAGAAGTGGTGTCCTTCAGGGGTCAGTATTGGGACCGATACTGTGTAATACCTTAAATGACACAGACAATGGGGTCAGGTACATCCACAGCAAGTTTGTGGGTTGACACCAAAGTGAGTGGTTCAGTTGGCACACTGGAAGGAGGGGATGCCATCCAGGGGAATCTGGACAGGCTTGAGAGGTGGGGGCCATATGAACATCGTGAGGTTCAATGAGACCAAATGCAATGACCTGCACCTAGGCTGGGATAACCCTTGGTATGAATACAGGCTGGGGGATAAAGAGATTAAGAACAGCCCTGCTGAGAAGGACTTGGAAATACTGGTGGATGAGAGGCTGGACATGAACCAACAATAGGGTGCTCAAAGACCAGAAAGTCAATTGTATCCTGGGCTGCATCCAAAGCAGTGTGGCCAGCAGGGAGGGGAGGGGATTCTGCCCTTCTACTCCACTCTTGTGAGACCCAACCTGGAGTGCTACATCCAGCTCCGGGGATAAAGTGGCATGGACATCTTGGAGTGGGTCTAGAGGAGGGCCACAAAGGTCTTAGAGGGCTGAAGCACCACTTCTATGGAGACAGGCTGAGACACTTGGAATTGTTCAACCTGGAGAAGAGAAGGCTCAGGGGAGATCTTTTAGCAGCCTTCCAGAACCTCAAGGGGGCCTATAAGAAAAATGGAGAGAGACTTTATACCAGGGCCTGTAGTGGTAGGACAAGGGACAGCAGTTTTAAACTGAAAGAGGACAGGTTTAGATTGGACGTAAGGAAGAGAAATTTTACAATGAGAGTGGTAGGATACTGGAACAGATTGCCCAGAGAAGTTCGGATACACCATTCCTGGAAGTGTTCAAGGCCAGGTTGGCCTTGCTCTGAGCAACCTGGTCTAGTGGAAAGTGTCCCTGCCCATGGCACTGGGGACTGGACTAGATAAGTCTTAAAGTTCCCTTCTAACCCAAATCCACCCTATGAGTCTGTGATCTCACTGTATCAGAATTACTGGATTCTGATGTTCTATATTCTAATCAGAATTGGTGGAATGAAAGATGACAATGCTGTCTGTAGGTGTTGCAAATAGCTGTGCAGTTAGCAAGTATCAAAATGATTAAAGTTGTACTTGGCAAGAAGGGGCTTTGTGTGCATGTGCGTGCTATGTATCTATCTTTAAGGTTGTACTTGCTGGACACACTAAAATCTAGCAATGCATTCCAACAGTAGTAGCTGGTGTGGCATGATCTATTCTAACAAGATGCTTAATTTACTCAGTATCACAGTACCATGCAAAAGCTGCTACAAAAATAAATTTCTCTAAAAAGGAGAAAAAAAATCATCTTTCTTTTTAACACTGTGGAACAAGCCACAGGTGCTTTGATGGTGGTTGGAGCTGTATCTAAGCTGCAGTCTGTAAATCCTGAGTATTTCCCAGGAAAGCTGAAGCACAGCTCCCACTCAAGCAAGATGGAAGGGCTATGCAATGCCACCCCTGTGGGTACAAGACCTGCTGGTGCCACCACACACCCAGGTGAGAAAGCGACCCTCCCTGCAGCACTCCTGCACCTCAGGGATTTCTTCCAGGTGCTGTCGCCCTGCTAACATTGACCCCAGTGCACAGAGCAGGCCTGCATGCAGGCTCTTTGACCTAAGCTGGGTAAAAAAGCATCCCACATATCTCTTTGTTTTTTAAAATTATGCTCAGGGATATTTTTATCTTGTTAGCAATGCCCATGAGGGCCCTGCAGACAGTGTCACCCCAACTACTTCTCGGCCTCACCATCCCCTCAGGTGGGAGGTCACCCCAAGCCTGGGTGAACATTTTTGCTTCTAGATGGGAAAGTTAAAGGTAGTTTAACCACTCATTTCCATGAATCTTCAAAGTGCTCTGTAACTCTGGGTAAGCTGTAGCAATGTGAAATAATGCAGATGTGTGGAAGGAAAGAAATATTGACCTCATCTGCACCTATGAAGTCAGCTATGCTCTATTTGGCATAGCTCATTTGAGGTGGAAGGAAACTAGAGCCCTAGCAAATACCCAGGATCTCATCTTACTATTGGAAAACTCTCATCCGGCAAAGGCCAAGGATAAACAACTTATTTCTCCTTGCTTCTGGGACTTGAAATAAAACAGAATGGACAGAAACCTACAGCCAGAGATTTTGATTGCATCCTAACCACAACAAGGCAAAACAAGGTAAGATCTGACCAGGATTGAAATAAAGACACAAAAGTTGAACCATGTTAACCAGTAACCTCTACCAAATTTGCTAAAACTCTCAGTTTTCTCATCTCTAGCCTATCTCCACTTACAATATCAATGCTAGGACTTAAAAAGCAGTGGATGGTATGCATATATTTTCTGATGTTCAATGCAAAGGTGATGGTTTCGAAGGCAGTACTGTCTTAGAATTTCAAATTCGCTGGTGTTCATGTTACATAGAGTACCACTTGGTGGTCACTTGGAAGGCGCTTCTACTTCGGTTTAACTTTCTTCTAGGTTGGGTATAAATATTCCTGGGAGGCTAAACAGAAATGCATTTTGTTTAGATACAAGTCTTAGGCACGAGTTAGAAAACTGCTGACTGTAATGAAAATATATCAGCACTTAGTAGTATCCAATAATATAAAAAATGTAATTCAGAACATCTGCAACTACATAGATATGTGTGTGCGTCTATATATAGGTATAAAGGTACAATACGTACATGTATATAAACACAGACACATATACAGAAATATTCACAACTTGAACTATATTTGTAACTAACCTGAAATACTGCAGCAAAAGTTCATTCTGATGAACCACTAATAGAGCATTTCCCAACTTTTGGCTCTAGCCATACTTAAAATGTTCACACATCAAACTAAACCTTTTGCTATCCTAACTTTCTGCTGTTCTAGTTCTTGGCTATCTTTTTTGCTACCCTAATCAACATGTCAGAACCAAGAGTTTCTCTATGGAGACTGTAAGAGTATCCTGCCTAGTGTAAAGCTATGCAGCTACTGGACATGCTTGCAGCCATGAACCCTGGGCGCCTGTTGATGGTAGTACTTCCTTGGATGGTAACAATTTGTAGGTTGGAAATGCATAAAAGGCAGGGAGCCGTTGGCACACGGCTGCCGATTCATCGCCTCAAGGTTCTGACTTTTGCTGGAGAGGAGTTCCCTGATGAGCAGCGATAAAAAGGAGTGGACGGTGCGGGTGGGAGTTTGACGGGGCTCACGGCATCTCCCTCCTGCAGCTTCCAGAGGAGCTCCTCGTTAGTCCTGCTGAGCTTCTTCTTCTCCTCCACTTCTTTCTCAACATATTCTTGAAGATTTGCGTTCTCCTCCGACAGTTGCCTGGAGAGAGAAGCAGGACAACATGTAAGGCAGTCCAGGGCAAAGATGGTGGCACTCATGCAGCCAGGGAAAAGCAGGACATTGAGCACCTCC